CTGCTGCGGGGGCCCTGGGGCTGGGCAGGCACAGGGCAGCCACAGCTCGTGGCCAGCAGGAAAGCTGCAGGGAGGGGAACGTGTGAAAGCCGTCAGCTTGTCTGGCCAGCATGGTGGGTAGGAGGCGTGCAGGCGGCCCTCAGGAAGGGCAGGCAAGGCACCAGCACATCCTCCCCTGCCAGATGTTGTTCACTGCCCAAGACCAGCACGAGCTCAGCCCCATGCGGAGCCCACACAGGCCTGCTTCATCCCTGCTGTACAGTAGTTGGAGGGCAAGGGCCAGACCCAGGTGCCAGGGTGCAATGAGGCTCTGCCTGCCTTGCCAGGCACCCAGCGCTGAGCATCTCCCAGCACGTTGCACAGCTGGAGCTGAGGGCTGGCTGGGGCATGGCCAGGCAAGCTGAGGCCCTGGCATGCTTATTAAGTGACGTGTGAGCAAGTAGGGCGGTTGCCATTCAAGGACACCTACGCTGACGCCTTTTCTCCCCACCTCCTGCCTGCCCCAGGGCCTCTCCCCCTACAAAACCTTACTGCCTCCCGTGTCACCGCCACCTCCGTGTCCATGGCGTGGGAGCAGCCGCCTGCCGGTGCCGTGGAGGGGTACATCATCAATGTCACCACCACTCAGAGCGTGAAGAGCCGCTACGTGCCCAATGGGAAGCTTGTGTCCTACACGGTGCGGGACCTGCTCCCCGGGCAGCGGTACCGCCTGTCCGTGACGGCTGGGAAGGCCAACTGCACAGCGAGCCCATCCACCTCTATGTCACCACCTGTGAGTGCTTGGCTCGCTGGGGCTGGGGCACTGCCAGTTTGCTGCAGCACGAGGGAGGCAATGGGCTGACTGGGAAGTGGGGCAATAGGTAGGAAACCGGTTGACCAACAGAGTAACGAGCCCATGGGGACTTGCTGCCCCAGAACTGGGTGCCTGCAGCAGGCTGTGGGGACAGGATGCAGGTCCTCTGCAAAGGGAGGCGGGGGTTGCAGGGTGCTGCCTCTGTTAGTGGAGGGCGGATGCAGAGTTTGGTGATCACAGCTCGGTGATGTTTCATGGGGACCGGTGCTTGCAGCCCAGGCATGTGGAGCGTGTGCACGTGTCCCCTAAATGGCAGCCTGGGGATGAGGGGACTGGCTGGGAGTTGGGTTGCTGTGCTGACTCACGGCCTGCCTCCCGCTAAGCCCTCCTGCTAAGCCTAACCCTTTGGTCTGCAGTGCAGAGGGATGGGGCCCCGGAGAGACGGTGGAGCCAGGCTGGACACACCCGGGTCCTGCGCAACAGGCTGCCCCCAGCTTTCCTGCCTGAACTCCGCTTGCTAGCAGATCACGACACAGCTGAGGAGCCCTCGGCAGCCCCCAGGTAGGCGCTATTCTGGCACTCCTGGCTCTTCCACCAGCATTGGGCTGAGCCCAGCCCCTTTTCCCAGCTCCTGTGTCCACGTGCACACAGGGTCAAGCCATGCTTCTGCTGGGTTGTGCCTCTTGCCCACCTGATGGGGTCCCGAGCCAGGGAGGCCCTTGTCCTGTGAGCAGGTCCCCCACGCTGCCTGCAGCTGAGGCCACGGGACTTGCACCGAGCCTGATGCCACCAACAAGTGCTTTATCCAGCTGCCTCCAGCCCTAGCACATGGGGCGGCTGTGGCCTGGGGGACCCGCAGTGCCCTGTACCCTCATGGCTCTCCTGTCCCAGGTTCACCGAGCTGGTGGATGGCAGAGGGAGGATCAGCACCAAGTTCGGCACTGCGCTGAGCAAATCCATCACTGTGAAGAATCGTAAGTGCTCTGCTGCCTTTCTGACCCCCTCCTGTCACCGAGTGCCATCTCCTACACCTCCCCCCAGGACAGGGTGTCAGCCCGGCAGGCTGCTGTAGGGCTGGGGGAGCCATAGAGGAGGGCAGGGCCCTCTCACCACTTCCTGGGCCGACAAACTGCCCTGCTCGCTAGACCCCTGCCCAGGGAGAGGGGTGACGCATGGCTGGTCAGGGAGTGCAAGGAGGGACCCTCAATGATGGGAGGCGATGCCGGCTGCAGCACTGGCTGACCTTCTACCCTGCTAGCAGCAGTAGGAGCCCAGGCAAGCGACCCCATGGCCCTCCAGCACAGCCCCTGCCTGCCCAGCAGCCTGAGCCCCCACTGCCAAGCACAGCCTCACACTCAAGGAGGGTGCCTGGGCAAGAAGCCCCTCGCTAGCCCAGAACCAGCCCCCCCCCATTTGCCATCCCTGGAACACCAGGGATACAAGTGCCAGCCCAAGATATCCTACCAGGCCCGGGATGGGGCCGTAGGGTGGGGAAGGGGCCTGGCACACCTGACGGCAGCCCTGGGCTCACTGCACGTCTCAGCTCTGCCCCTGCCTCCCCAGGGCTCTCTGTCCCACAGCCCTCCAGGAAGGGCGAGGCAGTCACCTTAATTCTAGGGGTGCAACTGCCTCAGGCCTGACCAGCTCCCTGATGCTGCGGGCAGGCTGGATCCCACCGAGGGGGCTGCCTTTGGGTCTGGCCCCGGCTGGAGGTCGTGGCCGAGAGCCGGAGGCTCCAGTGAAGCTGGAGAACATGGAGGTGTCCAGCCAGGGCAGTCTGGCACTGCAGCTGCGCGAGACAAAGAGCAAGAGTAAGTTCGGGGGGAGACACACGAGCAGCAGGGACCCAGTCCAGGCCCTGCAGGCAGGCAGGGCACTCGGCACCAGCCTACTCTCCTTGTTGCTGCCCTGCCAGGAGGCACACAAGGGGCATGGCGTGGGCCCCTGCCGGCTGCCCCCTACCCTCTCCGCCG